GAGACACACACAGCCCTTGTCTTGCTGCTCACCAAACTAAACATGTTCGTCGACTTGTCTTTGTCTTTGTATTTATTCTCCTTGTCTTTGTCTTTGTATTTGTCTTTGTCTTTGTATTTATTATCTTTGTCTTTGTCTTTGTCTTTGTCTTTGTATTTATTCTCTTTGTCTTTGTTTTATTATATTTGTCTTTGTCTTTGTCGTTATTCTCCTTGTCTTTGTCTTTGTCTTTGTTTTTACTATATTTGTCTTTGTCTTTGTATTTGTATTTGTCTTTGTCTTTATTATCTTTGTCTTTGTCTTTGTCTTTATTCTCTCTGTCTTTGTCTTTATTTTCCTTGTCTTTGTCTTTGTCTTTATTCTGCTTGTCTTTCTCTTTGTCTTTATTATCTTTGTCTTTGTCTTTATTTTCTTTGTCTTTGTCTCTATCCTCTTTGTCTTTGTCTTTATTTTCTTTGTCTTTGTCTCTATCCTCTTTGTCTTTGTCTTTATTTTCCTTGTCTTTGTCTTTCTCCTTTTTTGTTTTTTGTTTTTTCTTGCTTTTACTGGTTTTGTCTTTATTTGTTTTAGTAGCGTTGTCTTTGTTTTTATTTTGTTTTTGTTGTTTTTGTTGTTTTTTATTTTTAGTTTTTTATTTTTTTTTTTATTTTTATTTTTTTTGTTTTTTTATTTTATTATTTTTATTATATTTATTTTATTCTTTTAATTACTTTCGTTATTTTTATTGGTGGTGCTGCTGCTGCTGCTTGATTTGCTGCTGCTGTTTCACCAGCAGCAGCAGCAGCAGCAGCAGCAGCAGCAGCAGCAGCAGCAGCAGCAGCAGCAGCAGCAGCAGCAGGAGTTTATTGTTTTTGTTTTTGTTTTTTCAGAGCCTGCAGCTGTCTCGCGTTCGTTTGCGTTTGTTTGTATTTAATACATATACAAACAGCAGCAGCAACTCAGCAGCAGCAGCAGCAACAGCAGCAACAGCAGCAGCAGCAGCAGCAGCAGATCAACATGCCCCTTATGTACAGTGTCCTGCTGCGTATCAGTTGCAGCCTCCTGCTTCTGCTGCTGTTGCTGCTGCTGCTGCTGCTGCTGCTGCAACAGGATCATCATCATCACAGCAGCAGCAGCAGCAGCAGCAGCAGCAGCAGCAGCAAGGCCTGCTGCCTCCACCTACCCTCACTTCGCTTGTGCATGAGCCCCCTGCTTCTTGGTGTCTTCATATAAAGGGGCATTCTCTAGATAAACAAGTATTTCTGTTTGCTGCTGCTGCTGCTGCTGCTGCTGCTGCTGCTGCTGCTGCTGCTGCTGCTACTGCTGCTGCTAGTGCTGCTGCTGCTACTGCTGCTGCTGCTGCAACTGCTGCTGCTGCTGCTGCTGCTGCTGCTACTGCTGCTGCTGCTGTTGCTGCTGCTACTGCTGCTACTGCTGCAGCTGCTGCTGCAGCTGCAGCAGCTGCAGCAGCAGCTGCTGCTACATGTGCTGCTGTATCTACATCTGCTGTTGCTGCATCTCTTGTTGCTGCATCTGCTGCTGCTGCTGCTGCTGCTGCTGCTGCTGCTGCTGCTGCTGCAGGAGGAGATATGTTTATCTTCTTTTTTTGAGCGTATATTAATACTAACAGCAACAGAAACAATATCGTGGCATTGGGGGGGGGGACAGCCCGTGCAGGAGCTGGTTGTGGAGAGAGCTGGGGATACACCCCAAACCCTCAAGATACTTCTCTTTATTAAACATAAACTTCCTGCTTTTGCTGTATGTTTTTATTATTTATTTATTTATTTATTTATTTTATTTTTATTTTTTTCTTTTTCTGGTTTTTTATTTGGGTTTTTTGTCGTTTTTTGTTGTGGTTTGGTG